ACAAAGTAAGGTATATATATATATTTATATATATATATTTATATATAAAGGTAAAATATTAAGCAAAAGCTAATACACCTAATCAAGGCCTATACCCTAAACCCTTTGTATCAATTTTATTTAATTTTTGTATATCTAGCTCTGTTTTTGATGTCTGTGTATGTTAATATGTATGTAAAGAAATAATCTACTGTACGAATGTCAGAAAGAATCATTTAACACTAAAATTCAACAAATGGAGAGTGCTAATCTTTCAAAATAAAACCAAGAAAGTAATAGTAGATTTGTAATTACATCATGACTTTAAATACCTTACGAAATATACGAAGAACTTTATTGCAATCTCTCATTAACATTACAGAATACAGTAAGTCAAATCAAAATTGAAATTTAACAAAAGGGGAGCAAAACATTAAAACTACATCACAAACACACCACAAACACATAAAAAATAGAATAAATCTACAATATGTCAATTTAATTAGGGAACATTAAGTTAAGAATTCAACTACAAAAATAAATAATTCGTGTTCATCAATTTGGTTCTTTCAGGATAAAAAAAAATTTATGTTCATCAGTTTATGTTCATCAATTTGGGTCTTTCAGGATGATCTAGCAAATTCTGCTGTATGCAAAGCCAGTCAAATTGGAGGTAGCCTAAGGATCATCACCAAGCCACCAAACTTGCGCAGAACAACATTCAGTTTATCGTCCACCAAGTCATTAAGTTCACAAGTAACGGAATTGAAACAGTTGCAAAAATGTGACAAACATGAAGCCCAAGGGAACATCACAGAAGAATCTTCAACTTGCTCTTCTTCTAAACTAACTAGCAACATCTCTTCAGATACGTCCAGAGATTCTATAAAATCTCCACCTTCAGATTGGAAATCTCCAGCTAGGGGTTCAAAAGTGCCTGTCACTTCTGTACGTAGTCCAGGAAAAGGGGCGTACCTCCAAGCTGTAGATGCAGAAGGTTGCCCGCTTTGCATCTTTTGTAATAAACCTTGTCACTCAACTTATCCAGATAGCAGGGATCAATCAGCAGATTGGGATTGCAGATACTGTTCTGAGAATTGCAAAGATGATCACAAGGTGAGTGAATAATTTTCAAACTACTCTGTTACCTGGTACAAGTACATTCGAGGCCACAGCATTCTGCCAGGTACTTATGTATACTTGGGTAGAGAAAGATAAACATAGTTAAAGTACCATCACCCAGAAGACGGCAAAGGTTTTGATCCTCTGACTTTAAAGTTGCGAGTCCAAGCCACAACCGTTGTACCAACACCTTAAAAAAATGTCCTACTCATCTCTATCTTCCAAAAGCTGTCACTTTGGTACTCCTGTCACCTCCATCTGCGCTAGCTGCAATTTTAGGTATATTTTTGCTGCCATCTGATTCTCAAAAATTGTTTTCATACAGTTTGTTGTAGTTATTGATGGACCCAATTTTTTTTCCAGATGCAGTGGAAAAGTAGTCATTACATACGGCAACAGTTATTTCAACTGGAACATGGAATTTGTCAGCTCTGTGGATTGGATGCCCAGCAGTTATTTGTTCAGACAAGGTTGTTTTGATATTTTAGTTGCAATTCATTACAGAAATGTTTTATTTTGTTTTTAATCAATGAATCAAATAATTATGAGGGTGTCATGCTGGGGTGGATGCAGACGGTGCGATTGCACCCCCTAAATTGTATTAAGAAAAATAATTGTATAATATTGTTGATATGAAGATTTATGAGAGTGCATATTTGCAAAATTTTAACATCTCAGCCCACCTCAGCCCCAACCATAGTGGCCCTGAGGAGTTGTGGAATCTCACGCTCCCCCTTCTACCCAATCATGTATGGCAGATTTTGGTAGATCTAACAGATGTAGATTGCCACTTACATTTAAAGATATATAGTCTAATAGGAAGTGTGAACCAATGTTATTATTTATTTTATAAAATATCCCATTAGTAGAAGGTGCTTTAATCTATTTCTAGTGATATGGTAAACAACATTATGCTGCCCTCAGTCAGACCACAACTTGTCCTTACGCAGCTTGCGCAACACACATAAGATAGTTTCAGGTATATTAAATTCCAAACTTTTATTTAATAACACTGTATGGTATACTGTATCATATAATAATAATATGTTGTTCTTATATAGCGCTTCATGCACAAAGCCTCTAAGCGCTTCACATTACTACCCCGGTCATTGGATCAAACACATATGGAACACACACTCAGCTCCCTGGGGAGAATTCCATAATATTGCAGCTAGTAATCAGCGCAGTTGTGTTCGAACCTACCAGGTACCCACTTGTACTCCTGGGTGAGTGCCTTGCCCAAGGACACAAGCGATTTGCACAGTAAGAGTTATGAACTCCCGACCTCGAGGTTGGGAGTCCAAGCCACAAAACAGATGCGCCAACTGCTTCTACAATATGGTAAAATGGCGCGTTCCCTGGAACTATCTTATACCTGTTGCGCATGCTGCATAATAGCAAGTTTTGGTCTGGTTGAGGTCAACATAATGTTGTTTACTATATCACTACATATCAAAAGTTGTTTTGTTATTGTATAATATGGCTTCTGTTAGTATTTTATTTTATTACTATTTCAGATTTACTGTTAGAATATTATGAAAATGAAATATGAATGGAATATAGTACATAAAATCAAAACACTAATACAATGTACATATTAATAATCTCTTACACTTTTCACATTTTCTTTTTCAGAAATTTACCAAAGAATCAACGTAAAGAATTTCTACAAGCCAGTAAATATGCCTCCTTGTCAGTTTCTGAGTTGAATAAAATTATCAAAGCCCCAGCAGAGGGACAGGTAAGATATGGCTTCCTTCTCATTATGTACATATGCTTGTGAAATTAAAAATCCTGAATCTTTAGGGACCACTGAAGAATTTCTTTCTTTTTCTACAAAAATCATTAAAAGGAACATAAGAAACATTATTTATACTTGGATTGTCCGATATGATGCACTTATTTCCAATGAGGTTGCTTTTAGAAGTATCAGAATATAACATAAATAATTTTAAAGTACGTATCAAATGTTTGCTACAAATATCAAACCCATCAATGTATATTAGTAGTTATATTTTTTAAGTATTAATCCTTAACATGAAAAACAATTATCAGTTTACAAAAACACTAAATTGATAACAAACCATCCAATTTTTTTCCATTTTTTAAATTCGTATTAGTGAAATCTTTCTGATCTTAAATTAAAGGCTAATATTTTTACTTAATAAAGTAAGAAATTAAAATATTATATCTTATTTTTGATAAAATGAAAAATTGCTGACTATGGCAACATTTTTTATGGCAAAAAATTAAAAATATTTTCATTTAATATCAAAATATTAAGAGAAATCAAAGAATATTAGAACAGGATGTTAAAATCTGATTTCTTTTTTCTGCTTGCCTTTTCAGTTTTGGCATGCCGATCATATTGTTGCTGTTGCTGACGGTGGAGGTCTTTGCTCATTAGAAAATTTCCGAACACTGTGTGTCATGTGTCACATGACTGTCACAGCCAATCAGATTCGAGAAAGATCAAAAGCTAGAAAAACAACTGGGATGAAAGATATTAAAGGTTTCTTCAAACCTCTTTACTGAATGGAAAAAAATCCGAAAAAGTTTCCTATGTTGTTAAAAAATTTTTGAATGAGTAATGAAAGTTTTGCCACTCCATTTATTAAATTATTACAAATCATATTATATATTTATTCATGTGGCTTCCAATGACTGTCCTGAGGCAATACTTTTCTAACTGTAATTACATTTCTTTATAATAATTTTATCAGATTTCTAAAAAAAAAAAATAGCAAACTCGTAGTAGGATTTAAGATAACAGTTTTAGTATTAGATTTTTGTCATAATGTTCAACACAGATTTAAATTAAACTAAAACAAAATAATTATATATCATTGTCAGTATTTTTTATTTAGGCCTGTTAACATCTCTTGTCAGTGGAAATGTATAGTAGGCCTATACTTGGTTATTTGCAGTGCATCCATGGATGTGCAAAAACTGCAAAACCAGTGGGCTTTTTTTATCGAATTCAAATTCCCGATAAAGCTTCAGTGACCCAATTGGTTTAGGCATCTTCATAGACGGCAGAAGTTCCAAGATTCTTGTTAAGGTTGGGATAACTTTTTTGCAGTTGCAGATTTCTTTACTTTAAAGCCCCATTCCCGGCCAAATTTCAATTTTTAAGAAAAATCTAATTTTTGTATAATGTTATAAAGATTTATAAATATAATACGGAATTGCTAGTTTAACTGAATTTAGACATTCCTAAGAATGAAAAAAATGTAAAATAAGACTCATTCAGTATTGATCAATGTATTTTGTTAGGCCTATCGCTATTTTTTATTCAGTCGTAAACATAAGAATATTGTAATGACTTTATTTTTTAATAATATAAATATCTTCAATTTCATTGCAAAATAAGTGATATAGAACGAATCTAACTTTTTAGTGCAGTTATTCGTAAATTGTTAATACTGTAAGAACAAAGATAGGCCTACTTTTTTTTAATAATTGCGGACATGAACACATAATGTGGAGTTACTCTCCTACCTAATGTATGATATTTGTGATTTATGTAATTATTACTTAGACCTACCACCAAACATGCAGTCGGCCTATTTTGAGATTGTGAACTAATGGGAAAACTTAGTAGGTAAACTAGAAAAACAAATACTGTATTGTGCCCTAAAAAAAACAGAAAAACAAATCACTCGATCGTACACAACGACGTGATGTCTTTAATTTATGCTCAAATTGTAAATACATAAGCATTATAATGATATTGATCAATCTAGAGAAACTACAGTACATCAAAAGTTATAAAAAAAATCATTTACAAAGTTTCCAGGCAATGGAACATCAAAATGCAAAGACAAAAGAAAAAGAACCATCAATCTGACAAAAAACATGAAAGAAATAGACATTGCATAGACACAGGACATAAAAAAAATAAAAAGAAAGGTACAAGAATTGTAACTTCAAAATGCAAGAACAAAAAAAGGAAAGCTGTGACATTGTGACACCATGGAGGTATTATTGAGAAGGAGATCACTCGGCAACAGATCCCTTTGACGCGACAAACCTATATGTTCCCCGCTTTTGGATTGCGCGCGGGCGTATTACCCTATAATTCACATTTTTTCGTTAGCAACAACTTGGCAACGACATGCATTTATACGCTGCCAGCAGAGCAGTTGTGCAATAAAACGTTTGATTTTAACCCATTAAATATCTTTATAATGAACAATGTTCCCCTGATTAGATTTTTTCGGGCTTTTGGTATGTTATTATTTGTATATTTCAGGAACGGATTCCGTAAAATATTTATGTTAAAATTACTTCTGTGTTCATTATAATTTTGTCTAAAGATTGACTGGTTCGACTATAAAGCTAAGTCAGCGTAAAACTGAAAAATACTCAGATTTTCGATTCATTTTTCGAATAGTTAACCCTCGTTAACCCTAAAATGACTTAGTTTATTATAATCCTTAATCATTTATTAATTAATATCTGTTAAAATTAGAATTGGCGAATTTTGGCCAATTTATGAAAATTGAAGTTGAAATATACTATACTTTTATAGGTCATGTAAATGTTCCATTAAATTCGAAACTTTTTTTGGTGGAAAATATTAATATGTTTGATATTTTATGAGAGATAAATGTATCAGCTTCATAATAGAAAAGATTGCGCAGCCATAGTGATTGACAGTATGTTTTTTGGTCAACTATGCCTGCTGAAAATTTGATGGCGGGGAACACATGGGACTTCAAAGGCATCGCGCAAACGTTCTTTACGCGCTGCGGCAACTTTGATCTTGGTTCATTTGCATAGCGCTGCGTGCGCGTAGCTTTGCCGGGTGACCTCCTTCTCAATAATACCTCCATGGTATGACTTACCAAAAGAGAATAAATATACGAATGCATTTATGTTTTACACATTTTATTTTTTTTTTATTCGGTAAAAAGCAGATTCCCCAGGAGAGGATCGAACTCTCGACCTCCGCATTACCTAACCAGTAAGAACGAAGCCAAGTACTGTTTATAAGTACGGCGCGCTAACCGACTGAGCCACTGGGGAATACAATACTAGTTTGCTGCATTCCAAATATTGTACCTGCAAGTTTGCTTTGTAGCCAAAAGACCGAACTATCCCCTCTGTATCACCCAACCCAAGCTTTGCCCAAGCCCTATCCGTGTGCGCCGCATCGGTTTTCGAAAGTTATGTGCGTGTGAGCGTGCGCCTGATTCGAGTCGCACGAACGAGTTGTACGATTTTTTGGAGTAGGCTAGGCATGAGTCATGCTTTATGTTTCGTCGTATTTTGTTTCTTATAATCTGGAAGTTTGTTAGCTCTACGAAATGAAATGCTTGACTACATGTTGCGATAGTCTTAAAGCGTGTAAGTTAAGTTGGCATCATAATTTTTTTTTTTTTTGCCCGTCTGCGCGCAATCGAATGCTTTTTACTTGTCCTAGCTTAGGCCTACTCCTGCCTCCTACACTGTAGGTAGCATTTTGCTTTGCCTTGCTACTATTAAGCCTACTACTACTCACTAGGCCTAGTAGTAAATGGGTACCTGGTGGGGTTGCCTGCTCCTGCGCTGATTACCAGCCAGGGAAAATAACTCCGCCTTGACCTCAATCAATGAAGAGGCGCATTATAAAAGTTTGATAGGCCTATGACGAAGTTTTGATCAGATGTTGCAATAGGGCCTGTCTTGATTAAAGCATTCAAAAAACATGGTTTTCATAAATCCTACACGATCGTTACAATGTTTTGCTTGGAATCTGTCCCCTCGGTATGCTTATTCCCTATTCGACCGACCGATCATTGTCACCAAAACTTGTCAGATGTAGCAGTAGCGCTTTTTATGTTATTAATAAGTCCATTAATTTTTGCGCAACCGAAACTTCGACCAGGCGAGTCTATTGAACGTCCCAGTCAGGTTCTGTGAATTGAAATCACCCTTGTTAAATACTCTATACAAAAATGAAAACAACCTTATTACGGTACTTTGTTTTTAAATTTTCAAATAGTTCTCAAGTCATGTTTGCAATGTTCTCCTTGTTTGTATCGATTCTGTCGCAGCAGTGAGAAGGAGTACCGTTACATCAAGGGCCTCTTTGGTATAATTTTCGGGGCTAGTGTTGGAACAGGTTCGTTGTTTTATTCGTTTAAATAGCATTCGGCAATTTATTAATCCGGCTATTGGCCTATATCATTTTATTGAGGAATTAAAATCACAAAACTTACCTTAAATACAAAGCATAAACAAATATACAATTAAGAACAACAGACATTAGTTCATAATGTAAGCCAAAAACAGTTTTAAATATAAAATTTCCAATGGGCCCCTTATGCCTATCATAATTAAAATATTATAGCTGACCTGCTCCCAGGTCGTAGATCTCCATTGAAATCAGTGTTTTCATTGTTATTTCATTTTTAAGCTCTTTATTATGGCATTCTTGTTGAGATCGAGCACATTCCGAAGGCTTATCAATACCATGTACGGGGAGTGGTGGTAGCGGCTTTCGCACTAGCGTGTGCGTTTTCAGCTTCAGTTCGGTGTATTTTTGTCCTTGTAATTCCGAACTTTTTTGGAAAGAACGGTAGGAATACAGTGACAACATTCGCGATCATGTACCTGATGACTGGTAAGTATTACACTTTACAAACCAAAGATTAAACTGTAAAAATATAATGAGGCGGCAAAGATGCACATGTAAAACAGGTGAAAAACATTCCAAAGGAAATGTGTGCTATATTAGCGATTTCTAAAATGTATAACTGGGGTCCTTATTGTTCCAACGGAATAAGTCCGTTTGATGAGTCTTCCAAGAGTAGAACCATGCTCTCTTGTTCTCATGCGGAACTTTCATACACTAAATGGTTTGCCTCAATCCCAATTGATAAAAGAAGCCAGTGGGAACAAGTCTTCAAATTCAATCGTGAAAGAATTGGTCCAGAGCCATAGATAGAAAGAGTTGCGACAAAAAATTGAGAATTTAGAAGCCATTTTGTGTCATACGCGATGGGCGTTCTGTGTCTAACGTGATGTGCGTTCCTGTGTATAATATTGTATAATACAGTTAGCGGCCTCCTGTATAGTTTAATTTCATTTAATTTTTTTAGCAGTCGAATTTCATGTAACTATTTATAGATTTTTTTTTAATGATTTCACTACTTTATATCCAATTTCATATTATAAAATAATACTGTAATAATTTACTGTTTTTGAGCAGTTCTTTAATCATCGCCGATAGACCGAGAGAGCCCCTCGATGGCAAGCATTCTTTAATTAGGCAATCCTTAAGTAGCTCCTATTATTTTTGCAAATAAATGATATGTGACGACCAGCAAAAATTAATTAAATACTTTGGCACAAGTTTTTTTAGATCCAGCTGTAGGGGGCGTCCAATTTTTCGTATTCCCACCATGCATTTCGGTGGAACACGGTGGAACACTTTTTTTGTGTGGAGAACTCTATCTTGTATTTCTAGTATCTTTGGTGATGTTACTTATAAAATATAGTTGTAAACCCAATTAAGTGTGTGAAATTAATATGCAATGTACATAGCACATATACTTTGCATGTGCTCATCGGGAAGATTATGAAACAAAATGGACGGTGTGTACCACGTGACTTTCGTAAACCAAGGAGCGGAATGTCGCAACTCTTTATATATATGGCTCTGAATTGGTCTAAAGTACAGTGCCCCCATCCAATTCCAGACCAGCGTGAGATCTGAAAATGTGGGATGATCTCGGGGTTTGGTCTCGAATTTGAGTGTTGGCTTTATGTTAAGCCGGTTACTCACTGCGTGCGACGGCAACGCGACGAAGAACGCACGCGAAGACGCAGACCCAACGGATCGTCTTTTTAATGAGGATCCATTCAGATTGCCACTGACAATCAGCAGACGGTGTTGCGTCGTCTATCGCTCGCCGGAAGCAAATGTGGATTCGTCGTGCGACGGTCGTACGACGCATTGAGTGTCCGGCTTTAAAGATTGAATTGTTATTTATGGTTCTTTGAAAACGTGGTATCCAATTAGAGGTCTCGGAGTTAGATGGGTCCCACATTGGAGGGTGCACAGTGCCCATCCTATATATTTGCATTCTTTATATAATAATTTTATCATCCCATTTAGGTCCAGCAGCAAATATTATGTCTAACGCTGAAGAGTCTGCACGTGCTATATCCTGCACTGCTTCGCTAAGTTTTAATCACAGCAGGGAGATGTTTCAACTGATGCACAAGCCTCTTGTTGGTGCATTCCGCGAAATGGAAGTATGAAATATTTATTATTCAAACATATGGACGATGACTTTTGTTGTGCTCTTTCCGATTAAATAAAAATGAAAAAAAGAAAGAAGCTTAGTGATTTTTGGCTGGAGTGGGATCAGAGCGCCCGTTTTGCCACCCCTCGATCCGCCATTGGATATAATAGTAGAGAGCTTTCGTTATCTTGTTCGAGAACCAATCGGTCGAGAAAATTTCTCGACCTTGTTACCGTTCTCGTTAAAAAAATAGTGAATTTGCAATCAGTATTAACTATGATGATTTTCTCAAGGTAGAGTTAGGCCTATAATAATTCAATATAGAATATAGTCCAGTTTCCTGTTCTCGGTTTATCGCCCGGAATCCAGCGGCTGAATCGCCGGAAGCAGAAGTGAATTCGTCGTGCGACGGTCGTACGACGCAGGTAGTGCCCGGCTTAATATTGTAGTTTTTGAAAGAGATAAGCGCCCTTAAGAAGTTTGAGTACTCACTGATGCTTCTGTACACCACCGATCGATCGATCCTTGATCGATCGGTGCTCGATCAATTCGATGACGGCCGGGTAGACACTGCGTGGTGGTACGATGGTCGTGTGACCATCGCTCGAAGAACGCTTTTCTGTTCTCGAGCGTTTGACGACGTGCTCCTCGTTGCGTTGCGCTCTCCACAGAATCGTGTTGGTTGACGATCACCGGTGCAGTGCGTACCACCTGGTTTATGATAATGTTTTTGTAATGGACAATTACCCATTTTTAGAATGACGTAGGCTTGTCTCATTTTTTCTAGAGAAATAATCATGAGGTAGAAGGCATTACGCGCTCTCTGAGGACCAATTTTAATCATCTTGGAAGGGAAGTTAGACCGAAAAATCTACCACCTCTGCCAAAAACGAAGAAGCCGAGAAACAAAAAGGTATACACACCAAGGGCTAGAAAAATTCAAGTCGACTTTGAAAGACGTGTTCGTGGAAAGTGTGACGGTATGTACAGTTCTGCTGTCACCATATTTTGACGACGATTATGAGCCTGGCTCATTTTAAACCTAACTATCCACTAGCAATACAAAGCTGGGCAACGATCAAAACCTCTGCCGAAAGTTACCAAAACGTCATGGTTTGCAGCAATTTAGTTACAATTAATTTTCACTAGTGTCGTTGAATGCGTATTTTTAAAACTGGGAAAAGTCGAATGTTTTTCGTTGAAAAGGGACCACGAGATTCGTGAATCGAAATGGTTCATAGGCCTAATAATCACGACTGTCCGTTATCTTTCAGCCATATTTGAAAAAGCCGTAGAAAATTGTAAGAACACATTTAGACATGTTGAAAAGAAATGCCACGAAAAAATAAAATTTCCTATCGTCAAAGATGTCCTATGTCTGCCACTGAAGTTGACATTCTTATGCAACATGATTAGAGGTAAGTACCAAAATTCATTACAATTAGCTCGTACGTGATTTGGACCAGAGTAAAGCTATACTCTGGAGGAATAACGTTTTTCTACAATTGTTAGTCCAATTCTTAATATGCATTCCTTTCTGGTTCCCTAAAAGCCTGCACCCACGACGTCGGCCGAACGTCGTCGCAAGAGCGTTTGTCCTACACAACAGCAGGTCTGATTGGACCTACCGGAGGTCGGGACGAATGCGCTCATTGGCAAGCAACCCCTGTCGACGGATGCAACTTGGGGTCGTCGGACTGAAACAATACATTTTGCCGATCCAACCATAAAAATTCTAAACCATACTATGTCTCCTATTGACCCTTACCACAATGGTTTGAAAACTCGGCGCCCTGACTTTCGGTTCTGTCCCCTTACTGTGTCACTTACTTTCCCCATGTTTCTGGATGGATCCCTGCTTTAAACTTCTATTTTGCATTACACACTGTATACTTCGTTAATTTAAGTACTTATCAGGGACTACTAATCCAATGGGCGAGAACGAGGACACATGCAAGCATTGCATCCGCTTCCTCACCCAATTTTCTACTTTAATTCCAATGCATGCGAATGTTATATATTGAGAAAATAAGAAAAAAAAATACAATACAAGATGTTTCACTGCTATTTATAGATATTTATTTCCCCACCACGTCGCTGTTATCGTTATTGTCATCATCATCATCATCAGCATCGTCATTAATTTTAATTTCTGTTGTAAGTTATTCAATATGACTCATTTTATTTTCAAATAAATTGGACCTGTCTCGCTCACAGGCTACAAGTCTTCTTGTTCAAAATTTAGTCCAAATATTGACCCAGAACTGGGTCAGACCTACGTCAACATTGAGAATTTGATTGATCAATTCGACCGCAATTATAAAATCGAAACTAAATGGCAGGTAATGTACCATGATTTGTCTATCTTTCATGTATTCATAACATATTACCGTAATTAAATTACCATATTAGTGTTATTCTTAATTTTATTTAGCCATTCTCGCACTATCCGAATACTGTAAATTCTTGAATAAGCGTCGCGGTGCTTATACAATTGAGCGGCGCTTATTAAGAAAAATTCCATGCCTGTTCACATGCCTGCTCCCATGTTACCTACCTATCTTACCTATTTCAGGCCCTACATAATCTTAAATAAAGGTTTATATGCTTGTGTCCTCATTGTGTTATTTATTCATTGGATTTGAAAATCAAAGAAAATGCTAAAGTAGGCCTATCGTAATAACATATTTCTGATTGCGTAGAATTAAGTATTCGAAAATAGGGGTATATTTAAAGTTATCTGAAAATAGATGCCATGATCAAATTGTCCTGTCACTGACCTCCACTAATAAATAAATAATAAACTAATAATAATAATAGGCCTAATAATAGGCCTAATAATAATAATAATGGAGATGATGATAATGATGGTGATAATTATAATTGATAAGGATAATGATGTTAATAATGATTAAAGGCTAAATGTATAGGAAGCTGTCTGCTTGTTATTTACTGTTAGATGATGACATTTCCCTTGGATGTTACATCGGCCGAGAATATCCAGAAAGCTGTACTCAAGGAATTTAACAGGAAAAAGGTGTTTTTTATGGCGTTTTTCTTCATCGCTCAAGTCATGTTCTCCTTTACCTTCGTGCTAGTGTTTGTATCGTAAGTCAAATCAATTTTACCATAAAAAAAAAATAATAATGACTTCGTATCCAATGGTTAGTATCTTAATATCGGGGGTGTTCACTTTCCTCTTCGCGTTCGCGTTTGTTCATTAATTAAATGTTTCTTTGTGGCAAAAAGCGCCTTGAGGCGGTTTCTATGGTGGAAGCGCTTTACAAGTACATGACCATCGGTTGGTCATCATTTATCTTTGAGCCTTACGTATTTAATGTCCGTTACACTCAGCCTGGGATAATGTTGTAGCAGCAGAATTCAAAACTGATTAATTTTGGTTAGCATTTGGCCAACCTAGCCTAATAACATTGAACAACGTAACGGTGTTAACAAAAAAACTAACGCCGCTTTTATTATGGCCCTTTTGGTGCTGTTTCAAAGCTTGTGATTTGTTGAAAGTCAACAACGTAGCGGCGTTAAAACAAGTTAAAATAAAACTAACGCCGCTTTCATTGTGACCCTTTCGGCTAACCGATTATAATTACGGCGTTTTTAAATAAAAGTTAACGGCGCTTTTAATATGGCCCTTTAGCGCTGTTTAAAGCTTTTGATTGGTTGGAATTGAACAACGTACGGTAATGGCGTTAAAAAAAATAAAAGACAACGGCGTTTTCGTTATGGCCCTGATGGCTAACCATAATTAAAGGCCTGTTTATATTATTATGACGATAAAAAGCAATTATTCATAAACGAAATAAGCACGATTCGATAACGATTTATCGTGCGTACGATGAAAAACTAATTTCACAGATCAAATCAAATGACGCCATAATCATTGGATAACGATAAAATCGTTTTGCTTTTATAGTTTTCCCTTCATTGATTGTGAATCAGTCGATGTCCTGGAATTGTTATTAGTCCTACCATTCTTTTTACTGTATTGATGATTTGATACCTGGATAAAGAATGATTTACACAATCGCCCTGTAGGATTTACAGCAAGAGTGCAAGCAAGTGGCAGTGTTTCTTATGGTTTATTATTCGAAATGATAATAATATTAAACGAAAGATGACAAATAGGCTATGTACAGTATTTGTTTGTTTGAAAATAAAACGTCAATATAAAGCTTACATCATTCATTTAAAGTCTTTTGGCCCACAATGTGACGATCGTCGGCAGCCGACGCGATTCCATGCAGAACTCAACGGATCAGTTTTAATGACAATTCTCTCAGCAAACGACGTCGCACCGTCAAGCGCTCATACATAGAGATCGGAGATGAATTTGTTGTACGACAGAGTGTGTGTGTCCTGCTTAAGTGGATCGCCGTCGAAAACGAGTTGTTGTGGGGTGTGGTGGCATCACTGTCTCATGGAATCGCGTAGGCTGAGTAGGTTGCCCACGCCGACACAGTCAGCTGTCTGACCTTGTTTTTGGGCAATACGTTTTGGTAAATAATCTTTGTCTCATTCTCTTCCACAACACAAACCTTCGACAGTGCATTCCAGTATAATAGAAAGTATTTGTCGGATTTCAATTTTGACAACTCTTACCTTACGTCATACTTTCGTCGTATAGATGATAGGCGAAAAAAGCAGGTAAGTTTTAGATGTACGGTAATAATTCTAATTAAATCACTTTTAGATTTAATTTTAGGCTATAATTTATATTCCTAATAGACTTATTTCTTCGTATGATTCATCTTATTGAATTCTAATTAACTCATTTTATTATGATTTGTTCTGAGGGGGATGGACCGATTTCCCCGACGAAAGAAAGTGGGCGTGGTTGGGCGTTGCTCAAAATATCTCGAAAGGTTCGAATACCCCGCAAAATACGACAATTTGTTGTTTTCAAATGCTTATTTAATTGAGTCCACAAATATGTAGAGAGTACAATGCCATACAGGCCTACATTTTTTTTTCTCCCCGACGAATGTGGTTTTCTCCCCGACGAATTGTGGTTTTTCTCCCCGAGGGGCCCCGCCCCACTCCCGTTGGAGCCACTTCTATATAGAATAACGCTATGTAGACCGTTAAAAAAAGTTGCATGAGCTACCGTAAGGATTTTCATCATGTGCTAAGTTTTGCTCATACGTTATGCATTAAAGGCCTATTTAAATAACAAAAAATTAATAAAATCGCAGGGTGTAAAGTTTTGAATACGTAAATGTCGGAAAATTGAATTCGTATACTAACAACATTAGAGGCACTTTACTGGCATAGGGACGCTAATAAAAGTGGAATTAAAATGTTTGTATTTTATACCAAACGGTATCTGTTTGTCAACATTATTTTGTCCACTATTCTTTCATTAACATTTAGATTACGATTATATTTTCAGTACAAAGTTTTAAGCTGGACGTTCACTGCGTCGTACGACGGTCGGCCGATTAATACAATTCAGCTAGCCGACGCGACGCCGTCTGTTGATTGTCGTCGGCAGGTTGAACGGGTCGTCATTAAAAACGATTCGTTACGTGCGCGCGTGTCGTTGCGTTCTCCGATAATCGCGTCGTCCGACGACCGTCGGACGCAGTAGGTTGCCGGCTTTATTTGTGAGCTTTCGTGACAAAATCAGTCTTGTACACAAAATGGAAAATGAGTTACTTATATAAAAGCTTTACTTTGGTCTTTGAATCAGGTTCCTAAATTGAGTACAACCGACGTAAGATCAATTTTAAATTCAAGTCTGAAAACTTCAGAGAAAATCGCCACTAAAGATAAACAACTGATAAATTTTGTGTTGATTTTCCTATCAATTCTAAATTGATAATTACAAATTGTGCCTCAAACACTAATGAACTAATGAAACCCAATTTTTGTCAAAATATCACTTATTTTCTTGAATATCACAAATTGACTTGACGTATACAAGACTCAATTTGTCACGATAACTCACATATATTTAAATAACTATATTTGTCAGGGGAAGAAGACATTGTTACCGCTGATGAAATCAGAGAAGAAGGAATACATTGAGCCTTTCCAGTTTAAAATGAGAAAAGATGAAAAATCTAAATGCGTAAGTGACATACATACAAACCGCTTCGGACCAATGGCGTGCTTAATACATGCGATCTTATTATCTAAAAGGGTATTAATCGGATTGTCCACCCAAGACCACAGACCTCAAATTCAACCAACATGCCGTAAGGAGCAGAATTATTGAGAAACCGACATAGTAGACCCCGTAGCCCACAGTGGCTTTGCGACCGCCATTCCCCAGGGTAATATGGCCAGAAAAAAAAAGCTTTAGCCATTAGCCTTTAGGTTTCTTTACTACACCACTCTACTTGTGAATGCTAGGACCACACTAATATCTGTTATTGAAGCTTGGTTTCCATACAATCGCTACACTGTCGCTACAGTTTTTGTTTTTTCTTACTGCAATCGTTGCACTGCGTAGCTGTCTACGACGCAATCAGGGACGCTCCCTGATACAACTGACCAATCAGCGTCGTCAAAGGAGTCGGCGATTTTTATGGAAACAGGCTTATCCCACCAACAGATGCACTGATTATGTTTAAATAACATAGGACAACGTTACTCCGAATAAAGAAAGGGAGGCCATGATTCGACCTATCGACTTTTATTGGGTCATCTTCAGGATTGAGAATACCTGACACTGATTACAAAAAATGCTACAATATGCAAATGAGGGGATTAAACAAGTCCAACAATGGTGATTTTGAGAGAGGCAATAGTTTTGTTAGATTAATTGTCAGATAAACAATTTCAGCTCTCTAGATGCTTCCACAGTTTAATATAGGTTTAAGACGATGAATAGCCAGGGCTTTCTTAAATAGCAAATGGGCCCAGTTATGTGAAATATCAATTATTTTAGTGCTATAATAATATATAAGCGATTTGTAATTAACAAGGAAATCATCTTCAAATGTGTTAGGCAAATTATGAAGTGTTAAAATATAAAATCTTCACAAGACTCAATATAATTAATTGTGAATAACACTGTTAGAGAGTGCAGAATGTTCAGATAGCCTAGTTATAACAAGGAGGTATAAAAATTATGCCTTGGTATAAGGCATCTGTCAGTCTTACCAATCACAACCGCAGCCAGGGAATGATACAAAATTGAGCAGCGGTATTCGTTACATCTTTGGTTGAAGTCTGATACTTTTTTAGTTTTCCATAAGATAATTTTTAGTTTTATTTTTTGACTTTGCTAATACATCTACGGAGAAGTATTTTTCCGTGTCAACCTATAACCCAAATTTTAGTTATATCCTTACTACCATTGTCATCAACAATTATTAGGCTTTGGATTATCAGAAAGAAATGTATACATAATAGTATAGGCTTATCCCATCTCTCTGCTTATTATTAATTTTTCTAACTTGATCTTCCCCTGATTAAGAATGTCATACTCTACCGACTGAGCTAACCGGGCTTGGTATTAGGCAAATCTATGCCAACTGTTTCTTAAGGCCAACTCGTACGACGCAGCCCGACGCGATTTGTTGTCGCGTCGGGCCTATGTGAGTTAAACGCAGACGCGATGGTGTGCGTCGGCGTCAGTCGCGTCGTAGAATATTATTGGATTGGATTGGATTTATTCGGTGTAAACACCAAGGATAGCCCACGAAAGTCTAGAAGAAGACTTATTTCCAGTGGGGTCCTTCTGGTGGTGATTGGACAGTACACCGGGAGACAATCCCCTACTCTTTTCCGAAGAGTGTACTGTGTTCTTTAACGTGCACATGGGCCATAAATGCACACGGGACCAACGGCCCGAAAGACGGTGCGCTATTGTAACTTGTATTTCGGCCCTCTAGCTGAAACACAAGGAGAGGCAGCGATGGGAATTGAACCGGGGACCTAGAGATCTCCACGGTTCAGCGCACTCGCAGTGGCTACCACCAGATTAGCCGACTGAGCTAAACATGTTTAATATTTCTCACGACGGCTTAAGACTGTCCCCGACGATAAATCGGGTCGGGCTGCGTCGGCCGACTCTGTCTGAGAATTGGCCTTTAAAAAAAAAACCGTGTTCGCTCGTGGGGCTCGAACCCATGACTTTAACCGGCTGAGCAAAATAGGATCATTATAAAGAATAATAAATCTCATCTACTGCCTTTACATAGATAACATTTTTAAATTTTTGTTAATTAATATAAATCAGTTTCAAGTTCGATTTTTATTTAAAGATAAAAACAGGACTTCGACTGATAGTTCAACTTTTAGGAACCATTGCCATCGTTTGTTTCGACAAGCTTCTTTATGAGATGCTGGACATAATTCGCAGGCACAGCAAACTTGATGTCGTCATCAAAGGTAATATGTCATTAGCAGCTGCGACCTATAAGCTTAAAGCTTATTCCCCTGTAATAGCTTCACATGTGTGAGCGTTTCAATCAGTTGTATGAAGGAGAGAGTGCTGGGATGAGATGTGCAGGTATTCCATATTGGTCTCCGTGTCCTAACGGGTATGACACTCGCCTATATAGCGAGAGTTTGCAGGCTCAAATCTCACCCGACACATTTTTTTCACTCGCCACTGAGGAAGGACTAGTGTTGTCCGAAAGCTCTGGTTCTATTTCTGGCTGTTTACTTACGTTTACTTTTTAGCTGTTGCTTATCATTTTTGTATCTCTACTGAGATCCAGCCATTGTTTCCCACAGCATTGTTG